AGTGGTGGAAATGGCCCTGTGCTGGTCAGTGGAGTAGTCCCCCAATGCTCAGAGATGGACATGAACGTGGATTGAGCAGCTTCTGGGGCTAGAGGTGAGGGGTGTGCTCAGATGTGCAGGTTGCGCTACTCGAGCTCTGCCCCGACGCTGGGGAGGAAGGGTGGTGCCTCGGGCCATCAGGCGGTTCTGAAAGCCTCACCCTCTGGACTTGATCCAGGAAGCTGTCAGCCCCGGAGACCATGCTGCAGCAGAGCTGCCCCTGGAGAATGGGAGCAGTGCGCACGCGCGTGTGCACGCACGTATACACACGTATACGCACTCACGCACCCATGCACGCACACGCAGCCTCTCTCCGTGGAGGCAGACCAGGGGGTCACGGGCTACGTCGTCCCTCTTCTCTGGCAGGGGTGGTGAGCCAGGCTGTCCATATGGAGACTAAGCTGGTTGAGTGGACGGAGGGGCTGCAGGCTCAGTCACTGCACCACTGGGCAGTCCGTGCCCAAGGCCAAGATTACCTTTGGGTTTGGACAAAAGCACCACCTGCTCAGTGCTTTCTGCAAATTGATACACACCCACCTCAGAGGCTCTGAGGTGGGCCCTGGTGCTGAGAGTGGTGAGTCTTGGAGATGGTGGTTACTGAAGAAGCCCCAGGAGGGCCAGGGGAATGCAGACAGAAAACACACTTGGCTGCTGACCCCAAGGTTGGAGGTTCAAGTCTACCCAAAAGCACTTTGGAAGAAAGGCCTGGTGATCCAGTTCTGACAGCTGAGCCACTGAAGCCCCACGGAGCCTGGTTCTACTCTGCTACAACTGGGTCGCCATAAGTTGGAGCCAGCCCTACAGCCCGTGTGTGTGTGTGTGTGTGTGTGTGTGTGTGTGTGTGTGTGTGTTTCCCCAACTCTCTGAGTTCTTCTATGAACAGCATGAGCCACGCCTGTCCCGGATCTTCAGGAACGAGGGGTGGGGGGGACGGAGCTGGGGCCTAGGTTAGGGAAACCCTGGAGGCGAGGGTGGTGGGAGTGACTAAGGCAGAGGGCAGCCAAGAGGGAAAGAGAGGTGAAGAAAGGTTTGATGGCCCCAGGCCCAGCTTTCCCCTCCCCAGGCTGCTCCTCTAGCTCCTTCCTCCCACAGGGCCAGCAACCCCAACTCCTCCCCTTAGTTACCAGCGGTTCTCAACCTATGGGTCTCTCCCCCTTTGGGGGTCAAACGACCCTTTCACAGGGGTCGCTCGATTCATAATAGTAGCAAAATGACAGTTATGAAGTAGCAACGAAAGTGATTTTATGGTTGGGGGTCACAACATGAGGACTGTTTGAAAGGGTCGCAGCATGAGGAAGCTTAAGGACCTCTGAGTTAGACACTTGTTCCCACAGCCACCTCAGTGAGGCCTCTCCAATTCCAAGCCTCTTCTCTGCCAGTGGTGTCGCGGGACTTCCGGCAGCTACTCTTCAAGAACGGGCCCCTGAAATGGAAGGCCCCCCAGACCTGCTTCCTGACCTCATCTCCCCAACACCCGGGGCCATCTCGTCACAGGACCTGGGAGGGCGGCCCGCCAGTGAAAGGAAGGCTAGGCGCTCTGTTCGGAAGCACGTGTGGCGTGAAGTCCTGTAGGTCTGGCCTTGGCCTCCACCCCCAAAGGGCCCAAAAATGTGGGTTTAATCACACATTGGGCCTGCAGTATACGAACGGTGGGCAAGTCACCTGAACTGTAACAGTGGCCCAACCTCTGAAATGTTTGTCGTGGCTCAGAGCCTCGCTGTCCCCAGCGTGGACACGTGCCTGCCCTGCAGTTTGAGAGGCCGCCAGGGCAGGAAGGGCTGAGGGAGGGTGTCAGGATCAAAATGCACCCCCCCTAAACTGACCTATAGGCCTGTGATTATAATCCTATTTGGGTTATAATTGTTATGACAATTGGTTATGTTAAAAAAGGACACAGCAGGGTTAGACGTTTTGACTAAGAATCTTTGTGATAAAAAACGGGCAGATGAGGACAGAGAAGCAAGCAGAGACGGGAGGTAAATGGATTCCACATGAAGATCATCAAGGGGCCAACGAACTGAACTTGCAGACAGAGAGAATCTCCCCTAACCAACATGTGGATTTGGGGTTTCCAGCGTCCTAGACTGTGAGACAATCCAGCAGAGTTTTTGATGCAGCAGCACTAGGTGCTAAGACAGTGGGGGAGACGTGGGAGCAGGGACCTGGAGGGAGAAGCCAGCATGTCGCAGCAGGAAGGGCCAGGTGTGTAAAGAGAAACTGCGCAGGATGGATTCATGGTGAGCCGGGTCGTGCTGAGTCTACTGCCACCCTCCATGCCACCCAGAAAACAGATTGCTCCAAGTCTAACACCAGCAAAGAAATCAGACTCCTTATGGCCAAGCACGCCCTCAGACCAGCTGTCCCCCTGGCCCCAAACCTCCCAGAGCTCTGTGCTGGCCCAAGTGATGGGCAGCATCTTAACATGGCCTTGAGGACCCTCCTTCATCTGGTGCCAGCTTCCCTGTCCGGCTTCTTCCCACATCACCTCCCTCAGGCTCTGAAAGTCAGCCTTAGTTCCCTTTGACATGAAACCTAACATAGTGATGAGTTCTGGGACTAAAGACATGGCTTGGTTGGGGCTATTAGTTTACCCACCAACCTCCGGTTGTCTCGTAGAGACTAGAGACAGGAAGGGCCTAGATTCCAGAAGTGGCAAAGGTGGGAACTATGGCTCTGTGCTGAGTGGGCATCTCTTCTCTCTTCTTTGCCCACTTGGCAGAGCACAGCCACCCCCAGCGTGTCAGCTTGTAAGCTCAGACACGCGAGGAGGATCTATCACTGCTAAGTCTCCGGGAGGGAGTCAGACCCGCCACCTCCTCCCTGCGCCAGTCAGTCACTGAGTACTAGCATGGCTGCAGCCTGCGGGTGAGAGGGGGGGTGGTCGAGGCATCAGCTCAGAGGCTGACGGCTCTCAGTGACGGGCTGTCCTGTGCCTGCAGGGAGAACAAGGAGCAGAAGGGTGAGCCCCGAGTAGCCAGATGCCTGGTTAGCAAAGCCTCCCAGGTGGACACCCTCCACATGAGGAAGACACTGGACCAGGGCTGGCCTGCCTGGCTGGGGTCATGGTTACTGGCTCAGGGAACCGTCACTTCAGCCTCAGGCTGTGCGGTAACAGCTCAGCCGTGGCCTAATCCTTAAGCTGGGGCCTGGGGTGGCCAGGACCTTGGGCCAGACCAGGAGGACGTGTGCGCCTAACACAGAAGGCAGCAAGGGGGCTTTGGAATCTTTTAGATCATCCCCCTCCCTTTTGAAAATACTTTTTTTTTTTAAATCAAGCCCCTGGGAAACCACTAGAGACTGCACTTTGGGGCCACTCTGCTGTGAACGGTGACTTTAGATTTCCACAACGATCCCAGCCTTGGACCCTGAGGCCCTGTCCTTCAGGGTGGCTGGATCTGAATCCATCGGGGGGCAAACGGTCTGCTGTGTGAAGCTTGAGTGTTGAACTGTGGTGCTCCCCAGATGGATAGCGGGGTTCTGCAAGGACAGGGCCTCGGGCCCCTGGTCACTATGCTTGGGGCAGCTCTGCCGGGGCCTGAGGCTGCAGAGAAGCACAGAGCAGACGCCCCAGCTGCTGTACCACAACTGGGCCACACCTGAGCACCAGCAGCACCCGGAGGACAGGCCTGGTGAATTTCTGATAAGCTCCTCAGGAGACACAGGGAGGGTGCCACAGCCTGAAAGGGGTCTTGGGCAGGTCACCCCAGGCACCTCATCTGTGGGACCCTTGGAGCTGAGACCCACGGGAAGAGTTCACAGTAGGGTTGGGGCAGTGCAGGGGAGAAGGACCCAAGAGGTGGCTGTTGGAAGCAAAGGGCCTGTGTGGCGAGGGCTTGAAGGACGCTGGAGAGGGCCCGCGGATCCGAGGATGTTTGGGAAGTGACTGAGAGGCGTGCGGGGCAACCTCTCAAGGAAGGGCCCCTCTGCACACACTGTTAAGACTACGGAAGCAAGCCCCTTGCCTCTCGAAGGCCCAGAACCACTCTCCCTTGGGAGAGGGTGTTCAAGACAGGATGTTGGAGGCTGTGTGCCAACTGCTAGAAGCCTGTGAGCCCCACGGCGAGCAGTCACCTGCAGTCTCCATTGGCTCCCCTCCAGAGCAGTGTCTTCGGTGGCCAGGAGGGCAGTGGCTTTCTGTTCCTTTCACGTAATCACTGCTCAAGCATTGGCCCTGAAACCGAGGCACCCATCTTCCCGCGTGGCCTCGGCACACTGCTGCCAGGAGAGGGAGGTGAGGTAGGGCAGGCGAGAGTGGGAGCAGGAATCTCAGAGACCACCCGGACAGCTCGGGGCCCTGTAGACAGGGTCGGGAGGAAAGCCAGAGGGTTGAAAGCTAAAGGCATGGGCGAAGTTGGCAAGTGCACTAGGACAGAGACCAGATGCCAAGAGATGAGGAGTGGTAGGGCAACATTTCCAGAGGCCACCGTGCGTGGTGTCCTTAAATTCCCTCAGCACCACATCACTCCTCGGGGTTTAACCTTTCCTGCAAAGAACTTAAGGTCCTGGGTCACTAATTTGGCAATTCTGTTCAACAACTAGTCATTGGGGGGGGGGGGCAGGTTTTCTGCCAAGGGGTACAGACAAGGGCAAAAGGGCCTTTGTTGCTGGTTAGAAGTTTAACCCACCATGCCCCACTTAGCAGTCAGTTGTCTCGTAGCAGCTGGTATGCTTCCGCTGTGCCGGAAGCCAAGTCACCAGTATTTCGAACACCGGCAGGATCACCCACAGTGAAAAGGTTTCAGTGGAACTTCCAGACCAAGAGCAGGCTAGGAAGGCAGAATATGAGCTGTCCACTCCTAAGGGATGAATGAGCCACTGCAAACCTTCCAAGAATAGCACATGGTCACCGTGTGGGAAGAGTCCTTCCCACCAGATTCGGAGTGGGAAGGTTTCAACAGGTACGCCACAGTACCAGGGAGAAGGCCGAGGCAAAGCTGTAACTCTAGCAGCCAAAGGTTGTATCATGAGGGGCTTGGCAAGTCAGGCTGGACTCTTGAGAGAGCAGCCCACAGCCAGACCTAAGCCCCATGGTAACTGTCTCCAGAGGAACGAGCAGCCCGAGGGGCGCTCCACAGATGAGCTCGTGGACACGTGGATGGATGGGTAGCAATGAGGGTGGAGCGATCTCCAAGTTCAATGGTCTCTAATATCAAAATGTTTATTGGCCAAAGTCTTTATTTCACACTGGAGGTCAAAGAGTAAGCTTGCAAGGACTGGTCAGGTGAGCCAACAGTCGTATTGAGAGAACAATCAAAGCATAAACAAAGTCAGATCCTGCCTGCTTCAGAAGATCGGAGAGGACCATGGGAGGGAAATCCTGATGGCTTCCGCCTTTTGCCTGGGGCTGATATTCTCAACCCTCTGATAAAGCGGTTTTCAGAAAAGCTGGGTGGGATATTTTTTATTGCACTTCTCAAATAGGAGCTTTCAGTCCAGCTAGCTCACTGAGGAATGGCCCTCCATATCGGCCAGTATGATAGGCTGTGGCCATGGTGTGACGGGGAGAACTGAACAGTTACCCTGAGCCCACACTCTCTGGGTTTCTCCCACGTCTGCACGTCTCCTGAGCAAGGCACCAACAGCTGTGTTGTAGAGCGCCCTTTCCCGATGTGTCTGGAGCCGGTCTTCTCCTCAGGTGTCTCTCCCCTACGCTCAGAGCCCCTGCTGTGTGATGATCCACTGCCCTACCACAGAGCCACCAAGGGTGGGGTGGGGGTGGGGCAAGAGGAACTGATGCAAAGAGGCTGAAGCTTACACTGCTTGCTGAATGGCCCAGGGAGCTCTCGAGTGCTCCCAGCATCCACCAGGCCGGGGCAGGCCAGCTGCAGTGGACCCTCAGCCGCCACCGTGCACATCCTCTTCACAGATGCTTACGATCCCATTTCCATCTTTGCATCCGTGATGTTTACCGAAACCATGAGAACCCTTCCCTCGCCAGTTTGAGCCTGGGAACCCTGGGGGGACCCTGGGGGCACAGCGGTGAAGCCCTGGGCTGCGAAGTGAAAGGCTGGCGGGTGAACCCTGAGAGGCTCCTCCCCGGAGGAAGCTGTGGCTATCTGTCTCCAGAGCCCATCCTTGGAAAGGCTGTGGGCAGTTCTACCCCGGCCTCAAGGGCTGCTTGCCTCTAGTTGATGCCACGGCTGTGGGTCATTACAGGCAAAACCCAAGAGCCTTTTATGAACTGCTCAACAGACACGCTCTAAGGGGCAGTGGGTGTTACAAAGTCTAAGCTTCTGTACTTAAGTAACAAACATGTAAACCAGACAGCAACGACAATCAAGCACAAGCAATCTGAGAGCGAAGTCCTTCTTCTAAAACGAACAAAAGCAGTTGAGATGCCCGATTTCTCATCGTGCTGAGCAGTGGCTCCGGGCTGAAGGGACCAGAGGCAATCAGTACACAGCGGAAGTGGTTTTCAACCGACCGCGAAGCCCCGATTTCTATCTCTGTATGGAACTGACGCAGAAGCGGTCTTTGATCCTTTTGAACCATCTGTCTTCGAATTCTTCCGAAGATGTGATCACCAGGGCAGCCAGGGCCTCGGAGCCCACGCACCTCACCTCTGCGTGAACCTCGTCGCGTATCTTCTCAGGAACTAGGTCCTCCCCCATCGCCTGCAGCAGGAGGAGAGACACACAGATGTGGTCAAAGCAGCAGCAGGCAGGGAATGAACACCTTCGCACAACTGCGGAAAGTCTCAATTTCCCAGAGGCCCGATTGGGGGGTGGGGGGGCGCTTCACCCTGGGGACCAGAGTGTACACAGCCCACACTTCCCCTCTGCCCTCTGCGTGGAGAGAGGGACCCTGGGACTAACCTCCTTTCAGCACCAACACCACTGTGAGAGTGGGTGCTGGTCTCTTGAGAGAGCAGCCCACAGCCAGACCTAAGCTCCATGGTAACTGTGGACCTGTGCATGAACACCACACTGCCCGTGTGGCGGCCAGGTTCTGGCTCCAGGAGGCTGCCAGACGTCAGAGGCAGCACACAAGCCCGTGGCAGGTGCTGGGCTCACCATTCCATGATCTGGAGAGATTGTCCCTCTCTATACACATGACCACATCGGTGTTCCCATGTGGTACTGCCCCTACTGGTCGGCACGAGGCCGGGAGCTCTGGAATCCTCCCCTGGATCTGGGCTTTGTGAAGCATCCACAAAGTAGATTGGAATGGGGGAAGTGGGGGCCTGACCCCGCCAGGCGGCCAGACTCACCTTTGGTGAGGATGTTGACCTGAAACAGAGTCCCAGAATACCCCCCACCCTTTGCAGGGCAGGTACGCAGCCGCTTGGCAGAGACGCTGTACTGGGAATTTCAGTCCCGTGGACTCAACTGGAGCACTGGTGGCATGGTGGTTACGAGATGGGTTGTTAACTACCAGGTCAGCAGTTCAAACAACCAGCCCTTCCTCAGGAGAAGACAGGGCTTTCTACGCCCGAAGGAGGTCCGGTCTTGGAAGCCCACAGGGCAGCTCTGCCCCATGCTACAGTGTGGCTGAGCTGCAGTGCTTGGTGGTGTACGTTTGGTTTGGGTTTGGGGCTACCCTCGGGAAGGCCAGGGCATCCTAGGAAGGCAGGGGTCGAGACCTGACATCCGAAGTCATATAACAATCACACATTTTACCGTCGGCCCAGTGGCAATGTCCTGAGAGACCTGAGGGGAGAAAGCCCCACAGTGGGCTGAGATGAGCCGGGAGGTCACTCTGACAACCAAACTTGGTGCAACAGGGCTTGGAGGAGGGTGTGAGTGGAATCGAAAGGGGCCCTGATGCACAGCTGGGGAGAGGGGGCTGCTGGTGTCTGGCTCGAGGAAGGAGACTCAGAGCTAGTAAGGCATCAGGTCTGCAGCAAACACTCACCTGACGGCCAGTCTGTGGACGGCGCTGGGCGACCCGGGCGTGGAGGGGACTAAAGATGGACTGAAGGGGTTTTGAAGTGTGGTCCCCTTTCAGACAGTGGGCACTTGATAGGACAGGAGGATGAGAGGGAATCACGGAGGAGGCAGTCGGTCTGAGCTAAAGACAAGAGGGGTCTACGAGCAGGCTCGGCGTGCTGCAAGCCTCCTGGACCACGGAGGACGCTCTAGTTCAGGGCGCAGGAGGCAGCGGGGTGCTCAGAAACAGGCGAGTGGCAGACCAGCGGTCTCTCGGAGGAGGAGGTAAAAAAGGACAGCGGTTCCGTGTACTGCAGACAGATGCATGGACAAAGGGACTGAAAAGAGATGAGAGACCAGGTGGGTCCCAGGGACATGCCTCAGAAGGAGGGGCAGAGGGCTGAGGGAGGGCAGGGAGGGGGCCTGCAGAAAGCAGTTCTCCAACAGTGAAGTCAGGGAGGCGGCAGGTGCTTCTCCAGGTGGGACAAGCACCTGAGCCGCACATTCCAATCGGATGCTAAAAGAAATTCACATACGCCATCGCTACATGTGCTCTTGGACATGCCAATGGTGTTTTGCCAAAACCCAACTTAAGGGAGGTTAAAAAAAAAAAAGTTGATGCCTCTTGGCGCCTCCCAGAGCCAAAGCTGGTGGAGCATCAGGAAGGTGAGCTTGGGATAACATGCCCCTGACCTTGCGCAAGCTGTCACCTGTCCGGGCCTCAATGCCAGCTCCCACACCTCACAAGCTGCCAGGAGGCTGAGTGGAGACAAAAGGCAGACAGACATGCTGCACAAAGGTGAGTTCACACAGGCAGCATGGAGGTCAAATCCTCTCTGGGCGTCGATGCAGTGCCAGCAGGCATGTACCAGGGGGTACCACGGGGTGGGAACTGCCGGCCTCCTCCCGCTCAGGCTCCAGATGGTGGTGACTGGTCGGCGATCAAGGGCTCATCAAGGACAGAGACAGAAGCCCCCCGGGAGACACACTTGGGCTATGGCTTCTGTTTTGTTTGTACATTCCCCCCAGAGTCTGAGCCACAGACATTATCTGTGCCTCCTTTCCTATAAGCCCCCGGGGAGATACTCACCTCAGAAATAAACAGCAAAGCGTCTTCTTTGAAGCTGAGCCTTTGCACTTGATCCTCAATGGCCCGCTGAGTCTCTAAGTTCCTCTCCAAAGCGAACGATGTTTGCTGACACTGGGTGAGCTGAAGCAAAAGCCTGGAAAACAGGGCAGCAGTGAGTGAGTGAGTGAGTGCTTAAGAGAGAGAGAGAGGTTGGGGGGGTGGCCACAGAGGAGGAACCCTCCTGGGAATTCCTAGAACTGCCTGCTCTCCACAAACACCCCAACTTTACCATGAAGATAGATTCACGCTGTCGAAAAGCAGCTGCCCGAAGCTTCTCCAAGAAATCTTTAGGAAGCAAAATGTCAAAGGTGTTTCTTGTGTCCCAAGAGCAAGTCAAGTGACTGAAACATAAACCCACCTCCCCATCAGAGCCCGGACCCTGGGGAGCCAGTGCTCTGCACGCCCCCCCACCCCCAAGTCCAGTAACTCCGTTCATCTGCCCCCTAGACCTCACCCTCCGCATACTCCCCACCAGGGCGGGGCAACGTCTAGACTGCTGACACTGGCTTCCCCGCTGTGACAGAATCACTCTCCTCTCCCCCCTCCGTGGGGCCCCGGGGAACTCCCAATTTATGGACCAGACAGGACAGACGGAGAGGGACAACGGGCAGAGTCAAACCAGGGTGCCAAGAGAAGCCAGGGAAGGGTTTTCAGAGATGACACTCAAGCTAAAAGCTTAAGGAAGCACCAGCCTGTGAGGGTCTGGCCTCTCACCCAAGAACTCGCGTGGCTGATGTCTGAAACACATCATGACCTCTGTGCCCTAAACTCTCACGGCCACTGAGCCTAGTCTGACTCAGTGACCCGACGGGACAGGGTTTCTGAAGCGGTAACCATAACATCTTTCTCCTGTGGCCAGGGCACAGTGAGCCCTGAAAGAAACTGTGGGCAATGAAGCGAGGCAGACAGACAGACAAAGCCACAGACAGGACCCTGGCTCTTCAAGTCCTTTAGAAAGCAGCTGCTTGGCCTGATTTGCTTAAAAAGACCTTGCTGGCTGCTTCCGTCCACCTTGGTCCCATCTGTGGCCACTCCATGACCCTGCTGTCTGCCGCTGGCTCCGTCCTTCAGTGGCTTGAGAACCCACTTTGAATCTGTTCCTTCCTTCAGTCTCTCCTCAGCCCTCTGCACTCCACCATCCCATTGCTCCGCCGCCCGAGGGTTCAAATCCTCTCCTAGGCATGGATGCTGACTTCCCACCCGCCCCTAGGGCTGGATCTAGTTCTGGAAACTTCTGAGCCTCTAGCTCCTTCTGACTCCACACTGCTATTCCCGGTCCAAAACTCTAGCTGGGTGTACAGAATCATGATTTTCCACATCTGCTCTTCCTGCCAGGGCCCTTCAGCAAGAGGCACCGCCACTCGTCTGTGCCCCTGCCCGCGCCAGTGGTCACCAGGCCTACAGAGTCTGTCAGGCAGGGGCATCCACTTCCTTTGTTTTTATTACCACACACTCCCACCAGCACCCCCCACCCAAGATCACATCCACCCCCACCCCCAGGTCAGCCCTCATCTCAGGTCTCAATATTCCAAACACCTTCTCTAACCCCAGCCACCACCTGGCTCTCCCTGCCACAGCACTCCAGTGTTGAAAACCAACACATGCTCTGTTGACTTTAACCCCTTTCTGATGACTTTCATGTCCTGTGCTAATAAAACGACGGCAGTAGAAGTACAATTGCAGCAGCTAACATTTACCAAGTGCCTACTCTATCCCTGGCCCCGAGCATTAGCTCCGTAAACCCTCAACCCTGGCATCTTCCCCTTCCTCCTCCTTCAAAAGGGAGCAGAGACACGCGCGGTGGAGTCACTAGTGCCAGGCAGACCGCCAGCAGCCACTCGCTCGGTCACTCACTGAGGGCAGCCACGTATGAGGTGCCTATCAGAGCCGGCGCTCGCTTACCACGGCCCTGACCTCGGTTGCAAAGACCGTCCTGAGTGCCCACCACAAGGGCCACTCTCTCCACTCCAGATTCTGACGAAGCTGGGAAACCCAGGCCCTCCACAGCCCCTGGGGCTACGCTGGCTTTCCTCTGACCGTGGGGCCCTTCCTCCCCTGGGGACACCCGATGGGGAAGGGACAGTGGCAGAGGACAAGAGGTCCTGGACAGAACACAGGTTCTGGAATCAGAGACCTGGGCCCCAACACCGGTCCCAGCCTTCAGAGCTGCCCACTTTTGAACACAATTCTGTTTGTTCATTTCCTCTTCTCTGAAACGGGGCAGTAACAGTATCGACTCATGTGTTGAGGGCCAGACGACCTAATGTATAGAAGCATCTACTGAGAGTCAGCTGAGAGCTGGGTGGTCCTACACGGTAATGCTCAGCAGAAACTCCATCTCCTCATGAAGGCTTCCCTCCTCCTCCACCCAGCCGCCCAGAGCTCTGCCCACAGCTTAGAGCCTGTGCTGAGTCACAGAAGTGACACAGGCCGCAGCCCATGGGGTAAAGGGCTGTGTGCTACCCATGCTCAGGACCCAGCACCAAGAATTCCTTGTTGTCACCTAGTGAAAGGGGCCTCTGAAGGACACTGACGGCGGGGCATCAGAGCAGCACTGGGCTCCAGAGGGTGTCCAGCGGCTGCCCAGGGAAGCAGATGGGAAGCAAGGTGCCGAGGTCTCCCTCTGTGGCTAAGCGGGTGCGCTGTCTGCACCGCCAGGGACTTCTAAGGGAACTGAGTCTTTTGTGCTAAGTTTCAGAATCTGTCCACTGGACACTGGCGTTGGCCTGAGTCTGAACTTGAGTTCTCCAAAAATGGCCCGTGTTCGAGGGCAGAGCAAAAGCTTCAAACACAGACTGAATGTCCAGCTGAGAGCATCCTGAGCTTGAAACCAGAAAATAAGGCCTTTACCTGAGCCCAGGCCTGCTTACCTGGCTCTCGTCAGGGCGGCGCACACCTTCACCCGAGTCTCTGCCAGCATGGTCGCTCTCCCTGCTGACCAGCAGGGCTGGGGGTGGGCAAGGCCTTCCTGGGTGAGTGGGCTGCTGCTGCCACGGACTTCCACAGACAACCGCCTGCTCCGGGGCGAGGTTTCTGGGGAACACAGACGCCAGTCTTTTCCCAAGGGAGGGGTGGAGGATTCGGGCGATTTGTCACTTGGGGTGAGACTGTCCCCTTTCTGAGCTGGCTCTAGGCTCAGGTACGCCTCTGCCAGCCTGCTCCAGTTCCAGGGATTAAACGGGTGCAAGGAAATCAGCTTCTGCAGGCAGAGGACAGTCCCCTCCCCGTGCTGCCGACGGGAACACAGGGCCAACTGGAGGTGGAGCACGGTGGTTAAGTGGTCCGTGTTGGTGGCCTGATGTTCCTGAGGAGGACAGACAGGTCAGGGGCTTTCACCGGCAAAGCCTTTCCCATCGGGAAAGAGCAATGACTAGAACACCCAAACTGTGCTGATGTTTCTAGATGCACGGGATGTTTACTTTGTAGCACCCAAGTCCAGTCGACTGACTACGTGTCTGAAACCGCTGTGGAAATGCATTCATTGTTCCCACTGAACCACGCCCAGACGTCACCAGCAAGCGATCAGTGCTGACTATCTCCTGTGTTCACTGTTTCTGTCTTCAGCCAGATCTCACCTCACAAAGGAGCAGGCTGAGCCCTTCAGATCCCGGGCTCATGGCCGCACTTCTAATGCCCAGGATTTTTCCAAGTACAATGGGAATTTTCTTCTGGATTCAGACAGACTCTGTTTCCGAATCTCACTTGGCTTACTCGTCTTCAGCAAGGAGCCCTGAGGCTCTCATGCTCCCGGGTGCCTCATAATTGAACCCAAATGCCTTCGCTGGCACCCACATCAAGGCCAACAAGTTCTGGCCCGAAGGGGTTGCTGGATTTTCTTCTAACCAGGAAGTCTTTTCAAGTCTCCTTAACCAAAGACGTTACCATTTCTTGCCCAAGGTGCCATCTGGGTCAGAGGAACATGCCTGCTGTCATCTGAGATGCTCTTGAGTCAGCCCCAACCCAGCCAGGCTGCCCGCCCTGTGCCAGCCTCCCCATCATTAGGTTCCAACCCCTTACTGTAGCCGCCGTGCCTGTCCATCCCATTGAGAGAAGTCTTGCCGGCCACTGCGCATCACGTTACCCTGGAGGGGTCGAAGTCTCAGGTGTCTGGACCTGGCTCCCACGGGGAACCAGCCTGAGCACGAAACAGCAGCTGTGCCCCTGACGGGCCACGTCGGCAGCCCTCAGGGCAGGCTGTATCTCCCTTCAGCATCACTGGTGTGGAGCATCTGCCTCGGCTCACAGACCCTGAGGTGCCACATAAAAGGGAACATTCCCCCCCTTTGTTCCACTTAAGCTGTCAGCACATAAAATGTTCGCTTCCCCACAGGCACTCAGGACCAGCTGTCCAATGTTGCAAAATGAACTAGTCCACTTACGAACAGTGAGGGAAACTAATAACCACCGGGAAAGAACCAGACGTGGGCCAGAGCCAATGCTGAGAGAAAGGGCCTCGGGTCGGGGAGAAACGGAAAATCATGGCAGGGAGCCCAGTTACCAGGAAAGCGGGAAGTCAAGCAGTGGGCAGGGGCCATGGAGATACTTTGCCTGAGACCCACAGATGGGGTGAGGCCACAGGAGAGACTAGTCCACATTGCCCATTTCCCACCCCAGCTAGCCCCCTGCATGAGAGTGCTTGGATCCCTGGAGAACCGACCCAGGGCTGAGCCTTCTGCCCGGCCACCCCCTCCAGGCATCTCCAGGTCCTGGTACCTGTTGACTGGCATCAGATCCCTGAGAGCCGAGGACCCAGAACTCCTGAGCTGGCTGGGGCCACAGAGCTAATCTAACCCCAGCCCACTGACCGGCAGCCACTGCCTTCGGTGGTCCAGGTGAGGAGGAGGAAGCACAGCAATGATGCGGGTGAGCAGAAGCGGTGGCTGCATCTGGAACGCGTGCTGAAAGGGCCAGTACTGAACCTGCAGACCTGCACAAGTTCATGTCCACGCCGATGTTCCCTGAAGGAGGCAATCTAGCCAGAGGCTTCAGCTCGTGTGGTTTTTAGTGGCTAGAGCGGCCCTCTGCACCCAGAACCCTGCCCAGCCCTGTGCCATCCTCACAACCTCCTGGGCTGGAGCCCACATTGCTGCCACAGTGTCCATCCAGCTTGTTCAAGGTCTCCCTGTTTCTCACCATCCCTCTATTGGGCCTCTACTCAAATACTCCCTCAATGCAAGGACACTTTGTTCTATTAACCTGGCATTCCATGATGCACACCTTCCCAATACAATCACTGAAGACAAATGGATGCATGAGCAAATGTGGTGAAGAAAGTTGATGTTCAACCTTCATTTGGGTTTCAGTAATTCCTTCTGGTTACATTGCCCTTGATCAAGCCCTACCAGGCCTCCTACACCATCCTCGCCATCGATTTTGGATCACTTGTTGTTCCCTTGTCCCTGGGGTTGCTAACACCCACTTCCTTTCCACTGCCTCCCCCTCTCCCATGCCCCTACCCCACCAACCGTTGGTCCATTGTTTTCTCCTCCAGATTGTTTATCCTGCCTATCTTATCTAGATAGACCTGCAGAGATAATAATATGCACAAAAAGCAAGACAGAGCAAAACAAAGCAACAAAAGAAAACAAAACAACAACAACAAAACAAAAAAAGAGAAAAGCCTGTAAATAGTTCAAGGTCTGTTTGTTGACCTTTAGGAGTGTTTTCTGGTCGAGTCTGATGGGGTGCCACCCCCTGGTCCCAAAGTCTATTTTTGGTATTCCCTGGGGACTTTGTTGCTCTGTTTCCCTTGCTGTTCTGTTGTATACCCTTAGTGTTTCACCTCAGTGTGATGGGGTCCGATCAGGCGCAATTCCCACACTGTGTCTCCAGTGTTGTCCCCCATAGCTCTATGAGTCAGTGAGGGATATCGTGTCTCATAGTTGGGCTCGTCCTATGGTCCTCTCTGTGCTTTGGCTGCTCTGAGCAGGAATATCGTCCTCAGAACTTGATGGGCCAGGATGTGTTCCACTCTCTCTTCCTCTCCCTTCATTTCCTCCCATGTGCTCTGATCAGACATATCCCTCTCCCTGAGCTGTAGCTTTAGTGCTGTCCTCTGAAGTGAATTCTTCTGCAGGGAGGAGGTGCTGTCCATGAAGTTGGGATTGGGGATGGCCCCTCAGACCTCTATGGGTTCCCTATTTCATGCTGTTATGTTGCATTCACGTCTTGAAGCACCAGGTTGGCGTCTGGAGGAATGCTTTCGCATTCAATTGTTCTCATATGTAAACTTCTTTCTTATACACATTTAAGTGTTTATGAATTTGTTTCTCCAATCTACCCAGACTAACACCACCATAAAGTCCTGGCACTACAGACAAGCCTGTCCAGCTTGTCTAAACCCACTCACAGCTTTTTGTTGCTAGCCAGGTTTTTAAATTTTAGGTTTAGTTTTTGCTTTTTTTTAAAGACAACAAGTCCTTCTTGGTTCGAGACATGTAAACGAGCCCTGGAAACACTCACCAAGTGGGTGGCTACCTCCAGGGCCTCCATGTGCTTCCCCAGGTGAGCGAGACACCGAGCCTGCCCTTCTTGGGCGTCCCTCTTCATGGCAAAATTGCTCTGCGACAACTCCTCAGAGATGCTGGAGTACTCCTGCAGGGCTCTCTGGAAATCGTTTATTGGGAAAGGAAAGCAAAGGAAGAAAACACAGCAGAGAAGGAGGATTCAGCAGTGGGTTTCTTCCCAGGCAGAGGGCAATGTCAAAACGACTGCTACAAGGACCCCAGGGTGAGCTGCCATTCCCAGGATTTCCAAGTCGGTCTGTTCTTCCGAATGACAGGGAAGCCAAGGCTGGCGAACACAGCTCTGCTACCATGGGACCCCCTCACAGTACAGCAGCCAGAGCAACCTGCAGCCAAACAGGCCCCCGTTGGAATCCCCGTGTTGCCACTAAACTGGCTGCATCGCTTCTTTGTCAACAAAACGTCACCGGATGATGAGATGTGCACGTACCACCGGCGTCCAGTTGCCAGCACCCGCCCTGTTCTTACACATTATAGAGGATGTGGCTGCTTGCAGGGAGCCCTGGTGGTGTCGTGGTTACATGTTGGGCCAACAGTAGTTTGAAACCCGCAGTTGCTTTGCGGGAGAAAGGTGAGGCTCTACTCCCATCAAGAGCTAGTCTCAGAAACTCATGGGGGCAGCTCTACCCTGTTGTACAGGCTGCCTCTGAGTTGGCACTGACCCGATGGCAGTGAGTTTGGTTTGGGGCGTGGCTCCTATCACACTCTGTAGGGTCTACACTAGAGGCTCCCAGAGAAGGTGGGAGAGACAGACCCACATGGACCCCAAAACACCCTTCTCTTGAGGTGACAGGAAACACATGAATCTGAGAGCCAGGTAGAAAAGACTAGAACGTGGGGTTCTAAGGTTACACACATCCAACCAAAAGGGCCCCTGGTGGGTCTATGGATTAAGTACTGGTCACAGGAGAAGATGAGGCTCTCTGCTCCTGTCAGGATTTACAGTCTCCAAACGCTCTAGGGGGCCGCTGTGAATGGGAATGGACTCTGAGACCGTGAGTTTGAACCCACAACACGCTCATCTTCCGGTTCACTGTCACCTGGATACGCAATAACAGCTCAGCGGTTCTACCTGGTAGTCTTGCCGTCTGTATGCCAAGTCCCCTCTGAATTTCTTGAGTGTCAGAGTTTCGACATCGTCCCCGCTCTCCGCCTCTTCGTAAAACCACTAAGAAGCGTGAAGACAGCACATTACACAGAATGAAACGATGTGTCCCCACCCCAGACTCATGTTGAGCCATGTTTCCCAGGTCCTACCTTATAACACCCCCCACCACATTCCCTCCCCCTGTGCTGGCCGGCGTGTTGCTGGGAGTTGCTGCCCGGGTATTGTGCACACCCACCCACCAGTCACACAGGGTGCCCTGCTCGCAGCACAGTGTCCCAACTGAGACTGCCAAGGGGGAGGAGAATCCTGGCAAACTACCTCCAAGCCAGCCAGGGCACCGTGCAGCACCGATGAATGTACAACTCTCCACCAGTTCTTTAATGCTATCATGATCCCTTACAATTCTACCATATAAATCTGCAGAGACCAGAGGATGTACACTGGTACAGACAGGAACTGGAAACACAGGGAATCCAGGACAGATGATCCCTTCAGGACCAGTGGTGAGAGTGGCGATACCAGGAGGGTGGAGGGAAGGTGGGGTGGAAAGGGGCAACCAATCACAAGTAGTTACATATAACCCCCTCCCTGGTGGACGGACAACAGAAAGGGGGGTGAAGGGAGATGTCACACAGTATAAGACATAACAAAATAATAATTTTAAAATTATCAAGGGTTGGAGGGAGGGGAAAAATGAGGAGCTGATGCCAAGGGCTCAAGTAGAAAGCAAATGTTTTGAGAATGATGAGGGCAACAATGTACAAATGTGCTTGACACAATGGATGGATGGATTGTGATGAGTTGTACCAGCCCCCAATAAAATGACAACAAAAAAAACTAGCTGATGAAACTCCTATGGGGCTCAACAGAACACGATCTGATACTACGCCAGTCATGAACCTGATCAAGGCTGGACAGCTCTCCCTCCCATATGTGCATGGGAACACACCGTAACAATGTCTCGGACAACCAGGGCTTTCTATGCCTCACCTCACTGCTGCCCAAGTCCACTCTCTCCGTTGCCCTGCTTTATGAGAATATCAGCACCATTTAGGAGACTACAAAGTCCCAGCCTGGCACGCTTGTCCACTGAACTAAAAGGCTGGTGGTTCAAAAGCACGCTGTGGCACCACGGAGGAAAGGGCTGGCAAGCTTCATAAAGATGACAAGAAAACCCTCCGAGCTGTTTCACTCCGCCCAGCACAGGGGCCGCGGGGTGACTGCCCAGGGTGGTGATGGTTAGTTCCTTGAAGGCCCCTTGTGTTTCAGGGTCAACCGGCTCCGGGGCGATTTTCATGACGGGCTTTAGGGGGCAGAGCACCAGGCCGGTTTTCCAGGTACGACAGCCCACCTTCAGGCTGAGTGTCACGTTGGCCCCTCTACTCAGGGGCTCATGGGGTTCGAAAGAGAAGCTAAAGAGGGGTGGTGGAGTAAGGGGTGGGAAGGTTAGGTGGATGACGACAAAAGTACTTGGTTGGGAGCAGCGATCAACAAAGGCTTCCCGTTGGGGAGCCAATAGCAGAAAAGTGGGTGAAGGGTGACAGCATTCAGTGTAAGCTACGAAAATTAATAATTTTAAAAATTATCAAGGGTTCACCAGGGCAGGAAGGAAAAAAGAGCTGATACCAAGGGTTCGAGCAGAAAGGAAAGGTTTAGAAAATGATGGTGGCAACATATGTGCAAATGTGCCTGATAGATACAATTGAC